CCAGGCATACTAATGGTAACCTTTCGGTTTGGATAGTAGGGATGTGATGTCGGGTACTTCTTCAAGTCATTGAATGTGCATTGGCTAGCCTCGTCCCAAAGTGTATGCTTCTCTGCCAGAACGAAAAAGTCTGCTAGAGTTAGAGCTTCTTTCATGATCGATTTTCTGAATAGTGGGTGGTCTGCTGAAAGTCCTTTTTGGAAGGCTGCTCTAGCTATCGAGTCGTTGCATCCGACTATCCTTGCCTTCTCTACTTTGAACCTCCTCACATAGTCGCGAAACGACTCCTTTGGGTTCTTCTTGACGTCGAACAAATGGTCGGACTTCTTTTTTATCGAGCAATAGGATGAATATTCTTTGGTGAAAACCAAAGAAAGTTAGTTGAAATTCCAGATGGATTGTGGCAGTAGGCTGTAAAACCAATCTTGCGCCTCGTCTTGTAAAGTGGTGGTGAATATCTTGCACATGAGATCATTGTTGTTTCGATAAAGGATCATTGCGCTTCGATAGTGCTTTAAGTGTCTCTCCGGGTCTTCATCCCCTTTGAAATATATGAAATATGGCATGATGAACTCGCATGGAGGCTCTGCCTGCTCGATCTCGTCCATGATGGGTGACTTGCTTATGTTAGTCATGTTCCATCGTAGTACCTCGTTGGTGACCTCATTGCGTTGGAAATTACGCAATCACTTGGTCAAGAGTTTCTCTACTTCTTCCTGAATTTTCCTTTGTTGAGGTAGTGGAGCTCTCGACTGCCCCCAACCGTGACTTGCTGGTCTAAGCTGTTCTTCCATGTGTTTGGCTCATCTATGCTGCGGATGCGATGCGTGTAGCGCGTTCTAAGCAAGCGAGCAAGTTCTTTGCAGGCTGCCGGTTAAATTTGAGATGGATTAAGTGACTGCTTCTCTCTGTCCGTCATGTTGCCTACTCCGATGAGAGGTGAATGATGCTCATTGCGGGCTTAACTACGAATGAATACTTCACCTGGAAGGTTGCTCATGTTGACTATCGGAGTGTGACCCCAACTGTGAATGTATGCTCGTCTATGGGCCTAGTCGAGAGTGCACGCTCATTTGCGCTCTAAGACGGGAGTATATGCTATTTCGGGGGCCCAATCGGGAGTATACACTGCCTGAACGCTCGGCTCGCGGCTGGTCGAGTGGCTGCTTCCTAGGACGCTGTTGTAGAGGTTCTTTGTCTACCCTTATCCTACTTCAAGGCACCTTGTCTGGGGCATATTGCATCTTGGTGCATTGCAAGAGCTGGTTCACCAAGGTTGTCTGCTGTGCGAGGGCGCTCGTCAACTCTATGACTTGTCGAGACAAGTGTTGTTCTCCATTTAGGTTGGAATAGCTTGGAATGAATGCGTTTTCTTGAATAGTGGAAGTGTGGTAGACTCCGAGCGTGAGATTTGAGTTGGGAAATGCCAAATCCGCAGAAAAATGTGGTGAAAATACTCCTGGTTTGATCTTCAATCTAGGAATTTGGAGCCGGGATAGTTAAACTAATCTTGGATCAATTTGGGCTACTTGGAAAGCCACGGGAGTAGACTGGGCTGCGGAAGCAGGTTGGGCCACGAGAGTGGGCTGCTCACCTAGAGCAGGCTGCTCGGAGTGTGATGCATATGGATGCGAGGCTTGGGCTCGGCTTGGCAACGCGTTGAGTTCGCCTTAGGCATGGAGTGACATGGCTTGGGTTGTGGCCTTGGTGCCGTGAGCCTTGGATGGCACGGCTCGGGTCGTGGTAGCGATGCCATAGACCTCACCGTAGGTAGTGGTAACCATGGTGGCCACTGTGGAGGTTGCCATGGTGGAGCTCCGTAGAGATGGTGCCGATCCTATGATCACATTTAGCCTTGTGGATAAAAAATCTAATAATAAGAACGTATGAAAAATCTACAAATGGACAAGTAAATAGAAAAACCTTTTGATGCGGGGGTCTTCTACAAGTGTGTGACTCGTCTCTCATTGAAAGCACCAATTTGTGGATGCAAATTTCCTCCTCCTTGATCTTGGACAAAATTGCACCTACAAAACAATTAACACCTTAGGTCAAGGCCAAGAGCCTTACGCGCCCACAATGAATGGGGGGCTTTAGCTAAAGAACCTCTGATGCCAAAGTTAAAATTTAGAGAGAAAAAGTGTTTGAGAATTCAAGAGAATTTTAGCAAGAGTTGGAAGTCCTTTATGGGAGAGAATGGTGACCTATATATAGGTATATGGTCGGCCCTATTAGGAGAATAGGAACTGGCCATTTAGGTTTTTTTTTGGGTGTAAATTGTGGTTAATTAGCCATTAATAGATTAATTAGGTAATAAATCTATTAATTGACTAATTAACATATTTTGAAAGAAATTATTTGGGGAGTTATGGAATGAATAAGATAATTAGCTAATTGATTAGCTAAAAGAGGGAAAATGAGGTAAAAAAATATATGGAATGAAATAGGTTCTGGGAGTTACCTTGTAGAAGGAATTTGATGAGATGTGTTTGAGATTGTTACCTATTTTGGGCACTTTTGACTTGGTTGAGGGATGATTACCTGCTGCTCATGCGTAGGAATCCCGTTATGCCTCAAGGGTATTTTTGTCCTCTTCTATCCAAAAATCCACGTGTCGCCTTGTGATTATTTTTGGCTCCACATGAATGTTTTTTTTTTTTATTTGGGACCATCACACTTCTTGTATGATCCGAGTTTATATTTAAAATATAGCAATGATTAATAATAAGACATATTATAATATGCAAAAGAATTTTTTTCTTCTTATTCAAAGATATATTACATTAAGAGGTGGGAGGAGAAATTAGTATTGAATTCATAAGTCACGAGATTCACATATAAGACCTCTTAGTTGCAAGTAAATGAGAATATTAGTTGACGATAATTTTAAAAGGCAATATGAATAGACTGTTCAAATTAAGAGATAGTGTTGCATTCTCATAAAACAAAATTCTCATAACTATGAGAAAGTGGAAGAGAAATTACAATGAGTCAATGGCTATGTCCTTGTGCGGAACTAGAACCAACCTTGTCGCGGCCAAAAAGCTCCAAAATGCTTAAAGAAATTACCTTAAATATTTTCTTTTTTGGGGTCAAAGCTCCCTACCTTGTATCCTCTGAACTGCGCGCCTTCCCAATATCCCAATTCTCATGTGCCTAATTATCAAAATTCATATAAATAATACATAGTTAATAATATAAGTTGTCACTTAGTACTACGGTCAAATAAAAGTATAGGGTTATGATTTAATTGTTAAGATTTATTCTTCTCTTTCAAAGGAATATATATAGTTGTATAGGAGGTCCTATAAATCTGGAAACTAGAATCCCAATTATACAGGATATCAATCACATGATTACATACCCAAACAATACATCTATAATTCCTGAAATATAGCATTGACTCACGTCAACACGATCTAGTAGTATTCCTCTTCACTTGTAAGTAAGAAGTCTTAGGTTTGATTCTCGCCAAATGCGTATCTGAACGACATTATTGCTAACTCCTTGTGAGGCTAAGCCTACCTCCTTCCCTTAGTGTAGATAATATCGTTTATTAAAAAAAATAAAAAAGATATAAGTTATGACATGGGATCATAATTTTTCCATCTAAACTATTTTGGATCCTACTCAATTTCGGAAACCTTAAACTTGTGATCGGCAAAACTCGAATCTAAAACCTTAAGAGTATCTACAAGAGATTAGTCATATTTTTGTTAATTTTGCTAGAATTTGATTTTGAAAAGCTATTCTGGCTAGCCAGTTTGATTTAACGTATCTAATAACACTACGGGCTTTCACAGTAGGGTGAAAAAAGTGAGTATGATATTAATATATTGATCACTCGTATAATAATCATTCTACAACTATGGCTCATCGTTATTTTCGTAATAAATTTTTCGATTCTCACGATATCATTCTGATGACTTTTAAGAAGAATTTGTGTTGGCTCGTATAACATAAGCTACTGGATGTTCAAGGGTTTAGGAAAAACACATGAACAATATACTCAATATGACGGTTATACCCTTGACGTCGTGAGTAGAACATAAAATTACCTTAAGCAAATAAGACGTAATTTGCCTTAAGCTAACGAGGTTTTATGCCACTTAAAAACCATGGGCTCTCCATGCGGCCCATAATATATCCTGCTATTAAGCCATGTACCCAACCCAATGGTGGTAGCCACTGACTCTTCTGAGTCTCCCCTTGAGTGTTTAGCGCATCTGCGCTCTTATCAACATGGACTTTCAGAACTACTAGCTAGTAAGACTGCAAAGACTAGCCTGCATCATCAAGGATTGTCTAGCATTCTCTCTAGCCTCAACTCCAAGCTACATGTTAGAGTTTTTCAGTATAAATAGCCATGCCAAACAGAGAAAACAATAATCACCACTTACTATTCAAAACTCTCTCAAGTTCTATTTTTCTCTCTATCTTTTCTGACTTAGGCATTGGATGCCCTTTGGCGGATCCCTCCCCCTTTTCTCAGGGTTTTCGTTAATTAAGCTAATAGTGTTTGTTTTCTTGTAAGTGAAATTTCTTCTAACCAACGGTATACAAAATTTGTAATCCACGTATATTTCTAATGCTATCCGATCGAAAATCAGTTCACCCAATGAAGAAATTTTTAGTTGTCATGGGAACACAAGTAGTACACTACGTGTTTTAATAGGAATGGTGAGAAATTTTATTTTTTAAGTTATTAACTTTTTAACACACATATCTCATCACTTGTTTAATAACACGTGGTGTATCATTTCGTATACTGGTCACACCGAAAAATCTCTCCACCCAATGAATCGGCCAATATAATTGCCGATGTGGCAATATTTGTAGGTCAAAACACGAAAAGAGTCATAAATTGACCCGGAGGAAAATGCCTCCAAATGAATAGTGTTCACTCATCAGAAGGCGGGAAACATTTTCACACGTGCCACTAGCATTTATAGTATCTTATTGGATCGGTACGTTCAATTTTCTTAATTTGCTTGCTTTTTAGTCATCATCTCGATGTAGAGCGCGTTCGTACGCCTATAAAAGATTGCAAGACTCGTCCTTCCTGGAGAACTGGAGAAACAAAAACTTGCATAGTCTTTCCTAATCTTAAGGTGAGGTGTTTTCAACTTTCAGTGCTCCTGTTTCTTTTTTTCCAAGTTCCAAGGAGTTTTCTTGGGGTTGCTACGCTTAATTTCTGGGCGTCTTTATGATCATTTATAGTCTACATATCAGCCTTCCATGAAATCTTTGTTCTTTGTTCAAGTTCTATTCATGCCTTCATATATTTACTATTTATTTTAGTTGAATCCAACGGTACAGCTAAATTTCGGTTCACTCCCTAGTAAAGAAACCAGGTGCATTAATGGACATGATCTCATCAGCAAAATGGGTATCTGATTTCGTAAGTCTCGCTTTTTTTTTTAATTATACAATTTATTATATATACCCTTCCGTACCCTAAGCATGAAGAAATCAACAAAGAAATTTAAAAAAAAATAAAAGAATTGATACAAAAGAGTCCAAAGTTAATCTTAAAAAGTTGTTCAAATTTTTGGTTCTCTATTAATGTTTTGATTAATTTATATATAGGAAATCGAAGATCCTACTTTCATCAATCAATACGAAATGAGCTCCCGGGACTACTCACTTGATGAGCTCAATTTCCTATCTTTCTCATCTGAGAGCTACTCATCCTATCCAAATTTCACCCCAAAAGCCGACAACTTCAGCAAAGCATCCATCGAAAATCTTCATCAGATGTACGGGACTCATGAAAGGCCAGCAAAACAGCCTAAGAACAACACTAATAGTTGGAACTCTTGCTCCACTGACCACATAATTACTGCCAATGCTTCTTCTTCCTCCTCTTCACACCTAATTTCTTTTGAAAGCTCCAACTCATCACCCCCAACCACTTCTCAGCAGTACTATGGTCTAGATTGCAGAGTTATCAACCCAAAGAATGAAGTGGAATATTCCAATGGGAAATTGAACCCTCGAGCTTTGATTTCCCAAGGTATCTATGACCCCCAAACATGCTCACCGAAACATGGACAGGGGATCAAGAGGGCGGCTACGGTGACTAAAAGTCCTTTAGATGCTCAAGATCATGTTCTTGCTGAGAGAAAGCGCCGAGAAAATCTCAGCCAGCGGTTCATTGCTCTATCTGCCTTACTTCCAGGCCTGAAGAAGGTACTAATTAGTTAAACTTTTTCAGTTTTTACCCCTAATTAATGTGTTCTCAGTTAGACAGTACGTTATGTTGTAAAGTTGTTATGATCTAATGTAACCTCTTTTCGTACAGTATGTCATGTTTTAAATAGTTAATGATCTAAATTTTATGTAAGATTTGTCTAATCAATGACTCAGATTGTTTCTGGTAGTCGAGTTGTCTGATAAGAGAATACTTCTAGTTTAATTTGGTTATAGTAGCTTCCATCAGAGATTCTAAACTACCCATTTTCACAAAATTGCAGACGGACAAGGCTTCGGTCCTCGGAGATGCGATCAAGTACGTGAAACATCTTCAAGAACTTACGAAAATGCTGGAGAAACAAGCAGCCAAGAAAACTGTGGAAGCGGTGGTGTTTGTGAAGAGGACTCAGTACTCAGCGGATGATGATATATCCTCATCCGATGAGAACTCCGAGAGCTGCTCTAACCAGCCACTACCAGAAATCGAAGCAAGAGTTTCGGACAAGGAGGTCCTCATACGAATCCACAGCGAGAAAACTAAAGGATCTTTGGCAAGCATACTGAGTGAAATAGAAAAGCTTGATCTCACCATTGTTCACAGCTGTGCCTTGCCCCTTGGCAATTCAACTCTAGATATCACTGTAGTTGCTCAGGTACATAAATTTGGTTAGGTTAATTCAGTGCATAAACTTAACACTTTTTTTACCCTTAACTAATAAGACTCCAATTCTTAATTACAGATGGATGTAGAATTCAGAATGACAGTGAAAGATCTTGTAAAAAATCTAAGACAGGCTTTGCTCAAGTTGGTGGGACCAGAAATATGAAGTTCTGAAGTTCGCTTTGTGCCCTAGAGTTGGAGATAGATAGGAATAAATCTGACAGTTTCTTACGCATGTATTTTTTTTCCCTTTTTTCCCTTTTTGGTGGTTTTTTTCTGGCTTTTAAGACCTTTGGAGGAAACAACAGCCATTGTACTCATGCTGCTAGCAAGGCTTTATTTTGCAGGAGGGTTTTTTCCTTTGTGAGTTTTGCGTGGTTGACCGGTTAACCGCGTTCGATTACCCTCGTGCTATATATGAAAACCTAGCTGCAGGTTTTGTTTTTATTTTTTGTGGAGGGCTTTTGTGTAAACTTCCTTCGTAATCTATTGTCACTTAATGGTTAATTGTTGTTGTTTTATTTGTCGGATATTCTTCATGTATATAATTTATTGAATACCGACAATAAGTTGAATTTCAGACCCAAAAAAGTAGAATTAGAGACAATAAAATTTGGATTGTAGTTTTAGTTTTCATCTTGGACAACTTCATTTAATAATGGTACACCAGTCAACGAAATGGGGTGGTGAGCAAAAAAATTAACTCGCTCAAATTTCATTTTAGTCAATTTTTACGTTTAATTCAATTTGCAAATTATGCTTTTAAAGTTGGATTACTATTCAAATTTTCCAACGAAATACACGACTTTTTCATTCATTGCAAGGCAGAGAGGAAAAGAAATACAGGCAAGGCAATCCAACTTTTCTATCACCAACAGTTGGATTCGCTGTGGGCATCCATGTATTTGTTTTGAACGGAATACCATAAATTAGTAGCGATGAGTAAACCAGCAGGCAGTTGTCAGATTAATAGAGACAACCTGAAAACTATTAGGAGTACAGGTTCAATGGTTGTGATATTGACGAGTGTAAATTGATTAGATAGGTAGTTACAAACTGTTGTAGGATAGCTTAGTTTATAAGCTGTCATAGTTAGGATATATACTAATGTTGTGTATAGTGTACAAATTATTCTTTGTAAATGAAATACAGTTTTCTTTCTTCTTCTCTAAAAAATCTCTCTCTCTCTTTGATAATCTTGCTCTCTAAGGTCCACCTCATCATGGTTTACATGGTATCAAAGCATATTGGCACCATATGTAAAGCAGAACAGCCATACATGCTCCACATTATTCAATTAGTGTTGTCTACATGTATGACTTGAAAATTTGACACACATGAAGGGGCGTGTAAGGATGTGAAAGTAAAAGAGTTTGTCAGTGAAATGAGAAATCTTGCAATGACTTATAAGAGTTTGAGCTACTCCCCAATAGGTTTTATCATGGAACCTCAACTTTCTTCATAATATCTTCACTGAAAAAGTTATATGCTTGACGGATATCAATCTTGGATTCTTGCTTCCGCTTCCTTGCTGCTCTTTTCCTCATCATTTCTTGATATTCTATAATCTTAATCTTCGATTCTAGGGTTTCTTTCTTTCATATTTATGCAATTGTTCGTGTGTCATATTAAGCATGCAAGGTGTTTTATAAAATTCCTCTATCATTCTATTTGGGAATTTCGATTCGTATCTGTTATTACAATGGTGACAACATCTCAATTACAGATCTTGCAATCTCCAATTACATCTTTGATTTGAGCAGTTTCAACCTTCTTTTCTCTAAATCTTGATGATTTTAATTACTTGCCTTGGCATTTCCAAATAAAATTGTTACTTGAAGGCCATGACATCGTTGGATTTATGGATGGTTCTACACCATGTCCTGCAGAGTTTCTTAACAGAAACTCTGGTGATTCAGAGGTTAATTCTGAAGCCTCTTATATTCGATCTGAGTCAGATGACTTCAAGATTTGGAAGATGCATGATAAGGCTCTGATGCAGTTGATTACTACCACCTTATCTCTTGCTGCTCTCTCCTGTCCTATTGGAAACACCAATTCTTAGGATATGTGGAATCGACTTAAGGAACAATTCTTCAAAGTCACTCAAACCAGTATTTTCTAGATGCAATTCGTGTTGAAAACAATCAAGAAGGGTAATGATTTTATCACTTTCTATTTGCAAAGAATTAAGGATGCTAGGGATTGTTTGTTTACTGTTGGGGCATGTTTTGATGATAATGATATTGTGATTCCCACTTTGAATGGATTGCCTGCTGAATATAATACAATTAGGTATATTATTAGAGGACACGAAACTGTAATTTCTTTGAAGTATCTGCGATCCCGATTTCTACTGAAGAAGCTATGATTGATACTGTTTCTGGTACTCCAATGCTTACTACTTTAGTAGCTAATACAAATGGGTTTAATTCTAAAAATGGAAGTTCTTACAATTCTCAGAATAATTATTCTAATTCTAAAACTAGTGGTTATAAGTCCTTTAATAACAAGGACAAGGGGAAATATATTGAATGTAAATACTGGAGATTATAGGTTATCTGCACCTGGAATTTCTTGATGTTTCTCCACCAAGGCAACAAGGTTATATTCCTCAACGGCAGCCTAGTCAAATTTGTGTAAGAATAACCATATAGTTGATACCTATAAATTCAAGAATACTCAAGATTGTCAAATTTGTAGGAAAAATAATCATTTTGCTAACACTTGTAGATTCAGAAATAATGCAGTTCCTCAAGGTTGTCATATTTATGGTAATCTTCATTAGAGTGTAGCTTTCTGCTATCAAAATACCTCATCTCCAATTACTACAATGCATGTTGATCATTATTTGCATTTTGCACCTCCACAAATACCATCTAATTAATCTCAGCCAGTGTAGATCACTGATTCAAGACCCATAACATATGACTGTTGATGTAAACAACTTGTCTCTTGTCACTCCATATCCATCAAATGATACTATTCAGTAAGCCAATGGTCAAAGTTTATCAATATCACATGTTGGTTCCTCCATTATTAATACTTCATTACAGCCTTTGAAATTAAATTCAGTACTATGTGTACCAAAGTTGACTCAGAATTTGGTCCCAGTTCATAAAAGTTGTCTTGATAATAACTGTTTTTTAATCTTTTGGTACTTTTTGCTTTTGGATTCGGGACAAAACCACATAGAGGATTCTATTCAAATTACTGTGTAGTAATGGATTGTACCCTATAACTTCATCAACTCATTTTGGTTCAAGGAGGAAGATGATGATTGGTACTACCTATCTTGGACAACAAGTTACATCAAGTATTTGACATAGCAATCTAGGCCATCCCTCTAATCTCATTGTATCTCAAATATTAATAAAGTCCAATGCGTCTCATGTTTCTGAAAATATACCTATGTTGTGTCATAGATTCTAGAAGGCAAGTTTACCAAACTTCCTTTCTATACTGATGTGTCTAAATATGTATATGCATTTGAGGTTGTTTATAGTGATGTGTGGGGCCTAACTCCTTGTATTTCAATTAAAGAATTTAAGCACTATGTAATCTTCATTGATGAGTGTACTAGACATCGTTGGATTTTTCCACTATACAATAAAAGTGATATTTGTTCCACTTTTGTCTCATTTTACAAATTCATTTTGAATGAGTTTAATGTTTCAAGTAAGATTTTACAAATTGATGGAGGGGGTGAGTATATAGGAAATCTTTCAAATCTTTTTTATTGGATAAGATAATTAGCCATCATATATCATGTCTCCATACACCAAGAAAAACTTGACTAGCTGAAAGAAAGCACAAACACATTATTAAAATGACCATTACAGTTTCACGAACAGTATCATTGCCTTCTTCTTTTTGGTCCTTTGCTTGCTAAGCATCTTTTTGTCTTATCTATAGAATGTCTACTTCTACCTTGGATCATAAATCTCTATTTGACGTATTGTTTAAATTTGTTCCTGAGATTAATCACCTTAGAATATGTGGGTGTTCATGCTTTTCATTACTGAGGCCATACAATAGTACCAAATTGCAACATAGAACCACAAATGTGCATTTTAGGATATACTTCAAAGTTTAAAGGTTATATTTGTTATAAGGTGTCCAAACATAAACCATACATATCTAGGCATGCACTCGTTGCCAAGTCTAAGTTCTCATACCTTACTTTAGTCAATCAAGTGTCTCATAATGTCACTCATGCTACCTCTTCATTTGTTCAATCATTGCTACTAGTACCATTAACAATAATGTTATTCCTATCCCTCAGTCCAATAAAATCACTTCAATTGCTCCTGCATTTATTCGGTCTATGCCTCATAAACCTCTTATCTACTCCTGTGTTTGTGCCTATGCCATCTACTACATCTAGTCATAATAATGTAATAGAAGACCAATCCATTACCACGTATACAGTTCAGTCCTCCTCCTCTCATATCCCTGTCGTACCAGAATTTCATCTTAAGAGTTTACATGTTGTACTATCTATTCCACCTCTTAATTTGCATCATATGGAAACAAGGTCCAAAAGTGGACCTCAAAGAAAATTGTCTTATAATCTATTATACATGAGAATGGGGTGTTGATCTCACTAAGGTTGAACCTACAACCTATAAGTCAGCTTTGAAATCTCCAGTTTGGGCTACTGTTATGCAAGAGGAATTGTTGGCTTTATATTCTCAAGGAACTTGGTCTTTGGTTCCTTTTTCTCACAAAAAAAATAAATAAAAAAAACTTGGTTGTAAGTGGATCTTTAAGATAAAAAAGAATGCATATGGTACCATTGGAAATTATAAGGCTAGGTTAGTTGATAAAGAGGTTAATCAAGAAGAGGGGATTGATTATGGTTCCAGATATCAAACCAACCATTGTGAGATTGGTTATTTCTTTAGCTGCACTTTGTTGTTGATCTTTAAGATAGTTAGATGTTAAAAATGCATTTTTGCATGGTGTTTTATAAGAGGAGGTTTATATGGCCCAAGCACTTGGATTTGTAGATGCTCAACATCTTGATTATGTTTATAGACTTCATGAGTCTTTATATAGTTTAAAATAGGCTCCCAGAACATGGAATGAGGGATCTACAAGGTTTTTATCCTTCCTTGGGTATATTTCAAACTACTCATGTTGATTCATCCTTATTTATAAAAATTGTTGGCAAGTCTATCATGGTTTTCTTTCTCTTATGTAAATGACATTATCAACTCGAAGTGCTACTGCCGCTATCATTGATGTTATTACAGCTCTTACAAAGGAATTTGATATTGAGGTTTTGGGATCATTATATTATTTCTTGGGGCTCCAGATTGTTCACAAAGAGGATGATTTTTCTTTCTCAAGATAAGTATGTTTCTGAGTTACTTACCAATTATGAGATGCTTTTGTCTAAACTTTGTGCCAATCCTTGTTTACCATATAACATATATAAGGATGATGGTAAATCCTTAAACAATCAAGCATTATACAGAAGCTTGGTATGAGCCCTTCAATATCTTATATTTATCGGAC